TTCATTTTATTTTTATTTTATTTTATTTTTTTATTTTTTATTTTATTTTTAATTTTAAACTTTCTTTTATTTTTATTTATATTTTTATTTTTCATTTTATTTTTATTTTTTTTATTTTTTTTATTTTTTATTTTATTTTTAATTTTAAACTTTCTTTTATTTTTATTTATATTTTTATTTTTCATTTTTATTTTATTTTTTATTTTAATTTAAATTTTATTTTAATTTAATTTTATTTTTATATTATTTTTAGTTATTTGAATTTCACTTCACTGCTGTTGATTTAGGGCTCTGCATTGGGAACTCGGAGCTCTTTGCCACCAACCTGCTCCAGGTTTGATGGGAATATTTGATTTTTCTCCCTTCAAAGCCAAATGAACTGCAAAGCCTCTCCTCTCCCCCTCCAGATCTGAGCTCAGTTTGGTGAGCAGAGCTCTGAGGGCACACAGGAATTTTTTTTACTGTGGGAATTTTTTTTGCTGTGGGAATTTTTTCCCAGCCCTGCTTCTCTCCCCGCATTCCTGGAAAGTCTTGAATAATCCAATGGGTCATTTCTGCTCAGCTGCTGGAATTTATTGTCCCACCCAACCCAGATCTTGGGAATGTTAATGAAAACAATCCCCATCAGCCGGGCTCGTGCCATTCTGCTTTATGAGCTCATTAAATCTTCCTCTGTGCTGGCAGTGACAGGGACAGGCCGGGGCTGCTGCCACCCGCCCTCAGCGCTGCCACGGCCAGATTTACACCCCAGCATCCTGAGAGACATCTCTACACTCCTGACAGGATTCTAGAACAAGAGAAAAGGCCATTAACACCAACAGGGCAGGTGAGCAATGGGACACTAAATCTCAGCCCCCAATAAAATCACCTTGCTGGAAGATTTAATGATTTAATGATTTATTTATGGATTTAATGAGCTGCTCCCCCCGCGGGGAGGGGGCGAGGCTGGGATCCCACATCCCTGCTGGGGCTGGGGCACAGCCTGGCCCTGTCTGGGGGTGGCTGTGCCCCTGGGATGTCCTGGAATGTCCTGGGATGTCCCTGGGATGTCCTGGGACGTCCTGGGATGTCCTGGGATGTCCCTGGGATGTCCTGGGATGTCCTGGGATGTCCCTGGGATGTCCTGGGATGTCCCTGGGCTGGGATGTCCCTGGGATGTCCCTGGAATGTCCTGGGATGTCTCTGGAATGTCCTGGGATGTCCTGGAATATCCTGGAATGTCCCTGGAATATCCTGGAATGTCCCTGGGTTGTCCTGGGATGCCCCTGGGTTGTCCTGGGATGCCCCTGGAATGATCTGGGATGTCCCTGGAACATCCTGGATGTTCCCAGCACAGGTTCTGCCCTCCCTGCAGGCCATCGTGTGCTGATATTTGATTTTTTCACACTCCCAGACAGGGATGTTTTTTTTCCCCACCATTTCTCAGCTCTCCCCCCGATTTCAGTGGCTGCTCTTTAGAGCTTCTCTCCCGAATTTTGTAGGGAGATCACCCTTGGAGCAGCTGCTGGGGAGCTCCGAGCCCTCCTGCACAGCCCAGCCTGTCCCACCACCAGATCCCACACAAAACTGGGGATTTTGGAACCCAGTTCTTGGGAGGAGCCGCTTTCATTCTCAGGTGTTTGTTCCTGAAGGCGCAGTGCCACGACCTCCCTGAACACAATAAATCAGGGCAGGTTTGGGGGGCTCTGATGATGGGGCTGGCTGGGAGCAGCTGCAGAGCAGGCAGGGGAACGCTGCAGGATTCTCCTGGTCCATCACACCTGTCCCACACCTCTGCTCTGCATGCATTAATGACATTTTATCCCTCAGGGTGATGAATGGCCAGGATCTCCTTGTCACCGCTCGGGGTTAATGCTGGGAACATCCTGGGGGCTTTGTCTCCCCACTTCAGTCTCTGGGATGGGATTTGGGGGCCTTTTTCCTCTGCTCTCAATTAAAGGAATGATTAAAAGCACAAGGCCACCCCCAAAGCTCGGTGTGGGTCAGCCTCGTTTGGCCCCAGCAGTGAAAGCACAGCAGGGCCAGGTGTCAGTAAAAGACTCTTTATTCATAAATAGCTGATATCCATAATTCCCATCTGTACATCTCTGTCCAAAGGCCGGGGCCACACAGCTCTGAAACTACAGAAAACATCCAAAGTGTCCACTTTGACTTCTCCAGGACAATAGAACACAGCTGGTTGGCATTACCAAATATATATATGTATATATATTTATATATGTACATGTGCTGAAAAAAGAAGCCAGTGCAGCCTTTTCCAAGGAGTCTTTCCCAAGTATTTTCACTGTACAACATTCAGAATTTACATTGATAGAACAAGGCACAGAAAGTGTGGTATGAAGCCAAGGCCATGCTTTTAATTCCATGTTCTGTCTCCCTTCCCCACTCCTTCAGCTTCATCCTAAAGAAAGGGTCCAAAGCTCTGCCCTCCTTCACCCCAAACACGCCGAGCCCGGGGCAGGGAGGGATGCTCAGGCAGAGGAACGACCTTTTCACAACCTATTCATTGCAAAAATAGAGCAGAAGAGAAAAGAGGCCTCTCTAGAGGAATAATTCTGGGGGGGGTTTTCTCTTTTAGGAATTATTTATATTTTGTGTTGGATTGGGTTGAAGTTCCTCCTCCTGTTTTCACCCCAGAGCTGGTCCAGCGTTCTGGAGGTTGAAAATGCAATGGGGATTTTGTTCTCTCTGCTCTGACATCGCTCAGAGTCTCACCAGAGTGAGCAGCAGCACATTTCACCTCCCCCAAAGCCACAGAAGGTGCACATTGAACGTCTTTGTAGGCATTTATCAGCTGGGATCAGAGTCAGGGCCGCAGGAACTGGGCTGGGTGGGAGGAGAGCAGAGGTCAGCTGGAATTCCCAAAGCTGGGTTGGGAGCCCAGGCTCAGGGTGTGCCCTGCCCAGCTGGCTGAGGCTCAGCAGTGCCCACTGGGCTTTAGGTTGAGAGGGGAAAAGACACAAAAATTGACAGTTCCACCTAAAAATATCCCTCCCTCCCCCTCCAGTGCCCGAACGGGGTCACCCAAAGGAATTCTTGGGGAGATATCCCCACCAGAGGTCAATATTCCCAGTTCCAGCGTGGGAATGGCAGGGCTTGGATGTTCCCAGAGCTCTGTCCCGGGTGGGTTTGGGAGGAAACCCCAAACCTTCCCCTCCCACCGTGCCAGGCGTGGCACAGGGGCACTGCCACAGCTCTGGGGCACAGCCACAGCTCTGGGGCACTGCCACAGCTCTGGGGCACAGCCACAGCTCTGGGGCACTGCCACAGCTCTGGGGGCACAATCACAGCTCTGGGGCACAGCCACAGCTCTGGGGCACAGCCACAGCTCTGGGGTACAGCCACAGCTCTGGGGCACTGCCACAGCTCTGGGGCACTGCCACAGCTCTGGGGTACAACCACAGCTCTGGGTACAGCCACAGCTCTGGGGCACAATCACAGCTCTGGGGTACACCCACAGCTCTGGGGTACACCCACAGCTCTGGGGCACACCCACAGCTCTGGGGTACAGCCACAGCTCTGGGGCACAGCCACAGCTCTGGGGAACAATCACAGCTCTGGGGTACACCCACAGCTCTGGGGGCACAATCACAGCTCTGGGGTACAATCACAGCAGGGGCAGGGACAGGGACAGGGGCAGGCGCTGGGGAAAGCGCTGGGACATGGGCAGGGGCTGGGACAGGGGCTGAGGAAGGGGCTGGGGCAGGGGCAGGGTCTCCACATGAGGCAGGAGCAGAGCAGCAGCTCTGCCTCCTGCCCTGCAGCCACTGCCACCACCCAACGATGCTCCAAGAGACCTTTGGTCCCAGAGTGATTAATTTCGTTCTGGCTGTGTTGAAAACAAGGTTTTTGCTACCGTTTCTGCTGGTTTTGGCAATGAGGAAAGGCAGGGCTGTGCGTTCCTGGGGATGGGTCACGATCAGCAGCAGGATGGCTGCAGGAGCTCTGTGGACTCAGTTACTGCATTTGCTCAGGAATCTGTAAATAATTTTAAGCAGGCCACCGTGATTTGTCCAAGGAAGGACAGTTTGTGTTTCATGTGCTGTCACAGAAATCTCTGCTGGAGCAGGAGCAGTGTCCAGGAAGGAATTTCACCAAAGCTCATCCCGGGAATGATCAAGCCCTGGCAAACATTCCCCAGCAGGCTCTGGTGAGGGATGCTCACCCTCTCCTGCTGTGAGAACTCCCTGGGGGAATCAGCCCAGGAAAGTCCAGCGAGGCAGAGCTGGAGATCATCCGTGGCTGTCAAGGATTTCAAATCCCATTTCCTGTTTTTAATTACCAGCCAAGAACCAAGGCAGCTCTTTGCTGCAGTCTGTGTTTTACAGGCAGAAACAGCCTGAAAAAGAAGGTTCAGGTGGTGACCCAGCCCGGCCCCTCCCTTAACTCACCACAGACCTGAGCTGTGTCTTCCTCCTGTGGAAAATATTCCCTGGAATTGATCAGTTATTGAATGATTTAAAACTCACACACCACTGCCTTGCAGCTGGAAAAGAAGAATGGGCTTGGGGTGTGATGTGAATATCCCGGACCCTGCAAGATCCCTTTCTTGTGATTGATGCAGAACAAGGTTCTCTGAAAGCCAGCAGTGCCCAGGCCAGAGAGGGGGAGAACAGCTGTAGCCAGGGATAAAAACAATGGCAAAAGCCATTTCCAACCAATCCAGTTCCCCGGATTTTAGGAGAATTGTGTTGGTATCCTTTAATCTATTACAAAAATCCCAATAAAATTTCTGTGGGAGTGCAGGGCGGTACGGAATGGAAATGAGCTTTATGGTGCTGGCGGAGCTGGGAGTCGTTTTTAAAATGCAGCCATTAGCCTGCAATGACTCATGGCTCAGAAATACCTGGGCAAAGTGCTCAGGAAGATGAAAATCTATTAAAGCAGATTCTTTGGTGATGTAAAATCAGAATGGCTCTTTCCCCTGAGCAGAGCCAGGGCATCCACGTGGAATCTACAGGGGGGAAAAAAATCACATTTCTCTTTCTTTTACTTTCTAGTTGGGGAAAATTGTTTTTCAAATATCATAATTTATACAGCAGGAGAAAGGAATGAATTTTTAATTTCTGGCCTCTAATCCTTTTCCAGGTGCTCTTCCACATCTGTATTTTGGGTCAAATCATATAAATACAAGCACAGATTTCCAAAAAAGGTCCTTTTAAGAGAAAGGGAGAAAGGAAATAAATATTTGGGGCATTCCTGGTTCATTTGGAGAACACAAGAGCATCAAAACAGGAATACAAAGGAAAACTCGAGAGCTGTTGATTCAGGTTCTCAAAGAGTGAGATCAGTAACAAAGAACTGCTTTAGCAAGAGAAGGAAAACCAGGGAACAAAACCTGAAGGGCAAAACCCAACTGAGCCCTGCCCCAGCCACGGGGGAAGAGTTTGGGAATTGGGGAATGGAATTGTCCAGTTTGGACATTTTTTCCCTTTTGGGACACGAACTCCATGGGGCTGTGGGTGGAACTGGGATTCTGGTGTGGGGCTGGGGTCCCCCTGAACTGGGGGGGGGTCCCCCTGAGCTGGGGGGGGGGTCCCCCTGAGCTGTGGGGGTCCTCCTGAACTAGGGGTCCCCCTGAGCTGGAGGTCCTGCCCTGGGGGTCCCCCTCAGCTGGGGTATCCTGCAGAGCTGGGGGTCCTGCCCTGGGGGTCCCCCTGAGCTGGGGGTCCCCCTGAGCTGGAGGTCCTGCAGAGCTGCCAGAGCTGCCCAGAGCTGCAGGTGCTCCCGGAGGAAGGGCTGGAGGGGCCGGGCTCACAGAGCTGCTTTGGGACACAGAGCTCTGGGGGATGGAGCTTTGGGGGATGCAGCTCTGGGGGATGCAGTTCTGGGGGATGCAGTTCTGGGGTGATGCAGTTCTGGGGTGATGCAGCTCTGGGGGATGCAGCTCTGGAGGGGGATGCAGTTCTGGGGGATGCAGTTCTGGGGGATGCAGCTCTGGGGGATGCAGTTCTGGGGTGATGCAGTTCTGGGGGATGCAGCTCTGGGGGATGGAGCTTTGGGGGGATGCAGCTCTGGGGGATGCAGCTCTGGGGGATGCAGTTCTGGGGTGATGCAGTTCTGGGGGATGCAGTTCTGGGTGATGCAGCTCTGGGGGATGCAGTTCTGGGGGATGCAGCTCTGGGGGATGGAGCTTTGCTCTGGGGGATGCAGCTCTGGGGGATGGAGCTTTGGGGGGATGCAGCTCTGGGAGGGGATGCAGCCCTGGGGGGATGCAGTTCTGGGGGAGCAGCCCTGCAGCACCTGGGGGCTGAGCTGGGGGACACAAACCCAGCCTGCTCCACAGCAGAGCTGCTCTGAGAACAAATTCCCTGCAGGAGACAGACTGGGGCTGGTTTCCCCGACAACGGCAGCTCAGCGCTGGTTCCCTGGATGCCATCCCTTGTTTTGTTTTTGTAATGCCTGACATTTTGTCCAACGAAGAACAGGTTTCTGAGGAGGAGGACTGGCAGTCACTGGAGATATCATTCCAGCCCCGCGAGGAGCATGTGCTGCTAAAAGCAGTGACAGCTTGCAGCCGGTATTTCTGTCTGCCCCTAAATCTGCTGGAGCCCCTGCACCAGGAGCCTCCTGCCAGGCTGCAGGAGATGCTGAGCTGCAGGAAATGTTTGCACAGCTCTCAGCATTTCCAAGTCTCAGCCTATTCCTGAGCTGGGCAGGCAGTGGATTTCGGAGCAGCAGGAGCAAGGACAGAGTTGTTGTTGTTGTTGTTGTTGTTGTTGTTGTTGTTGAGATTTTCACACTTCACTGGGTGAGGGTTCCAGACCGGACCTGCCCTGGGGGCTGTCGTGCTGCTCTCAGCCAAACACGAGCCTGAAACAGCCCCCAAATCCTTGTTTTGGCTTTCCTGCATTTCCACAAAGCTCCCAAAGCCTCATTTCTGTTCCTGTTTTTCCTGACTGTGCCCCGGCAGCCACACGGACTGGGGAGCACCTCGGCTGTGGTGAAGGATGTGAGTGAAAAGAAAGATCAAAATAATGCTGAAATTTGGCTCCATACCAGCTCCACCAGGCCCTCGCTCAGAGTGACAGCTCTTTTTGGTTTGGTTGAAGACATAAATCATATTTGTACGGAATGGGTAAAAAATGAGGCGAATTCTCCGGTTTGATTCCCATTTTGGGGGTAAATGCGATTTGTAACGAAACCAAGGTAACCCAGCCAAGCTCTGCATCCTGTGAAATTCCCAAATTGTGCAACAAAATCAAGGCCAGTGTTGGCAGCGCCGTGTGGGTTTGTGGTTTCAATCTGAAGCCAAACCAAAATGAAGCTGTGTTGATTGCCTTCACCTTCAGCTCAGCCACAGAGCCAGAAATAATAAAAATAAATGTTTCAACTTGCTAAAATCGGGCTGGAAATTTCCCGTGTGTTATTTGGTTATTTAAATCCACCCCCAAAGACAGTTTTTGACTAAGAAAGTTTGCAGACGTAGAAAATTAGAAAATTCCTCTTGCGTGTGCACTCCCCCCAGTCTCAGAGAGAAGGGGTTTGTTCTGGAATTTTGGTGACAGAGCAGGCAGCAGAGCTCTGCAGCAAATGTACATTCATTAAGGGGCTGAATTTTTACAACAAATTATTTGGAATACACATGATATGAAATAATGATGAGATCTTCTAATTCCTCAAACATCTGAACAGGATAAGGCCAAATTTTCAGTTTTTTCCTGTAGCAGACATAAAGTGACAATGTGATGGGATTTTAAACCACTCTCGAAGTGAGAAACCTTTTAACCAGGACTAATCTCTGGTGGCTCGGAATATCCAACGTTATTTGTTGATTTTCACTAGGCATTACATGAACATGACTGTTCCTAAACACACAACAACATTTACCTCTTATGGCTCTGTGTCTCTCTCTCCCTCCTGCCCCGGGACTGGCACAAGTGCAGGTTTGTTTGGGGCACCAAAAGGTGGATTTTAAGTGGAGGAGGACAGGGAGAAGCTTGATTTCCTCATGGCCGGAGGGTTTTTAGCAGGGCTGCTTCTGCTCCTCCCACTGCCACTGGTGTGGGGTGAGTTCCATCCCCACGGGCACGACCCCTGCAGTCCCCTGGCCCAGGCTCGGGGTTAGCTGGCCGCGTGTCCTGGCGGGGCAGGGGGACTAGAGCCCGTTCCTGCTGCCGGGGAACTCGGGCTCCTCCAGCTCGGGCTCTGCCACGTCTGAGAGCTTGGAGTGTGTCCTTCCAATCTCCTCCAGGGCACAGGCCAGCGAGTCCAGGTCCCCGTCGTGCTGGTGCCGTGCCTCCCACAGGTCCAGGATGACGGCGGAGGGGCTGCTCTGGGCGGCGAAGAAGGAGAGATTCCTGCAGGGAAGGGAGGGAAAGAGGGATGAGGAGCAGCCCGGGCTGCAGCTGTGCCCTGTACCCAGCACGATCCATGTGCTTGGGAAAAAACCCTCCAGCACAGCTGGGGCATGAGCTGAGGAACCCCTGGAGGTGGTGGCTCCTCATGTGGCACCTGCCCAGCCCAGGGACAGTGACCATGAACCCAGGGTGTGGCACCAGCCCAGCCCAGGAATAGTGACCACGAGCCCAGGTGGCTCCTCATGTGGCACCTGCCTAGCCCAGCCCAGGGACAGGGACCATGAGCCCAGGGTGTGGCACCTGCCCAGACTGGCACAAGGACAGTGACCACAAGCCCAGGTGGCTCCTCATGTGGCACAAGCCCAGCCCAGGGACAGTGACCACAAGCCCAGGGTGTCCCCAGGCCCAGCCCAGGGACAGTGACCATGAGCCCAGGGTGTCCCCAGGTGCAGCAGTGCTGCCCCTGGGATGGGAAAATCCCTTCTGGGAAGCATCACTAGGAAATACAGCAAGGATTTGACAGGGAGAAGGATTTACAGCAGTTGATGCTTGTGCTTATGCAAAGACTCACCACCTTTTATCTGTGATTTTCTCTTTTGTTAATGTGCCATTTTTAGGACCCTGCAGGGGTGATTTGTATAGAATTTGGTAAAATAAAGTTTTGGGTTTATCCAAAACTCTTTTTCCTTTGGCTCAGATGCGGTTTATTGAGGTTCCCATGCAAAGCAAGAAGGCAATGGAAAGTTACTTTGCTTGATTTAAGCATTCCTCTGCCCTCCTGGGAACATATTTATAGAGTTTGTGACAATCAGAAAATATTTTTGTGAGGGAGCTGCCTCCACCAATTTAATTTAGCCAAGCAGAAAAAGCAAAGTAAGAAGTAAATTGGTTTTTACAGCATCTTTCAGTTTTAATCATCATAATATTATTACTCCTAACACTAGAGAACGACTGTCTCTTTTAAAGATGTCTTTCCCTTAAAAAAAAAAAAAATCTGCAGGGTTCATTTTGGAATAGGAAAGGCACCCATGAGAGCCAAGGGGATTTGTCTGGGGGGGATGTGAAGCCTCCTAAGTGCTTTGAACAACAGTTTCCATGATGGACAAAATCCTCCTGCAGCCTTGAGGGTGGACAGAAGAATGTCCAGCCCAGCAGGAGGAGCTGACAGCTCTGAGCAGCTGAAATGAGCCCTGAGAGCCCTTAATTCACCCACAGCCCTGACAGCAGCAAACCAACCCTGAGCAGCCGATAATTCCTGCTCCAGGGCCAAGCCCCCCTGCCCTGGGCGCTGCTGATGCCTTGGGAGGCTCCCTGGAACTGAGGCTGGATGGAGGAAAAGGAATAAAGTGGGGATTTGTTAAAAAGCCTTCAAAGGATGCACCTTGGGCAGTGCAGGAGCCTGGCTGTGGCTCCAGCCAAGGTGGACCCAAGGTGGACTCTGAGCCACGAGGTTTCACATTTTTATAAGTTTTGGTCCATTTCCATATTGGGATGAGTTGTCCAATTACAGATTATGAAGATTATGAAGGTTATGGAGATTATGAAGATTATGGAGATTATGAAGATTATGAAGATTATGAAGATTGGGAAGTGCCACCCTCCCAGTCTGCTCTCCTCAGCTCGCTGCTGGTTACACTTTCTGGGCCTGAGGCTGTCACGGTGTCCTTGGTGCTCGGGCTGGAGCAGGTTTGGTGTGGCTGGAACTGAGGAGAACTCGCTGACGCTTTATGTGGGGCTCAGAGTCACACCCTGGGGCAGTGCAGAGCCTGGAAAATCCCCAAGCCAGAGCTGAAGGCATCACTGCCATCACTGCCATCACCTGCTGATGCTGTTCTTCTGGGCCAGCAGCTGCCAGTCCTTGCCCTTGGCGCCGGGCGTGTCGAAGGTGGCGCAGATGCGCTGCCGGATGGAGCGCGGGATCTTGAACGCCTTGGGGCCCAGCTGGGCAGGGAAGGCGCTGTCCTCGTGCCCAAAGAAGGTGATGTTTTCTCTCTCGGCCTGCAGGGAATGGGAAGGCAAAGCAGGGAAAGAATCAAACCTCGGATTCCTCCTGTCGCTTAAGTTAACAGAAAATGACGGAGCTAAGAGGTGCTTTTGTGATTTGTGAAAGAACACCTAGAACATCACAAGGATTTGTGCATAAAAACCTTTAAAATGCTGTTATTTTCCTTCAACGAGTTTTCTTTTATGGTTATTTTTCTGTTACAGAGCACTGCTGGCTTTCTAAATCTTTAATTGATTAAACCCATGGACACACAAATTTATGTTTCTTTCTCTGGGCATTTTTAAACACCTGAATTCTGTAAGCACCTCAGCTCTCCCAGACTCTCTGGAATCCAGGTCTTTGTGGATCTGGCCCCTCTTTTCCCGTGGAATCACACCAGTCTTGCATAACAGAGTCAAATTTCAGTGCATTACTCATCGGAGAGTGACACAGCATCAATACCAACCAGCAGTGATGGTGCAGCCTCCATCCAGCCTTTGTGACACATCCCCAGGCTCGGCACTGGGTGCTGCAGCTCTGCCCTGGGCTCTGCTCAAGATGCAGAGCAGGAGATGCTCCTGCCCTGCCCGTGTGAGATAAGCACAGCGACCCGGGCGCTCCGGGGATTGTCACGCACGGAGCAGCTCCGGGGGGGAGTTGTCACTTACAGATTTATTTTGCAGTCAAATTATCCTCCCTCTTCAATCACTGCTGGAGATAGGCATGAGAAAGCTTTCCACAGCAGCAAATCTGCTTGAAGCAGAACTGGAACATGCTCTGGGGACTTGTGTACAGACAGGGCTCTTAAAAACACAGCAGAGAGGGAGAGCAAGGCAGCAGCAGCAGCAGCACGGGCTGGAGACACAGAGAGGGGTTTCATGAAATAAGGATAAAGGAGCAGAAAGCACTTGGCCAGTTCTGAGGAGTTTTTACACAGGATGATGCTCGTGCTGCTCTTGTCCAGCTGCTGCACTCCCTGCTCAGAGCATTTATGGGTGTAGAGCTCTAATCCAGAACCATTAATCCGGATTAATCAACAAAGATGCTCAGTAACCTAAAAAAGCGCAGCTGCTGAATTCTCATGGCTGTTGACAGAGCAGCAGCTGGCTCAGCTGTAGCTCTGATTTCTTTTAGCTACGAGCAGGGCCCAGTCCCCACGAGACACATTTTGTACTCCTGTCCCCAACCCTCAGAGCTCTGCAAGAGCTTCTCATTAGAAAACTGCAACCACCAACTCAAACAATAAATCATTAAATTACTGATAAATTATTGTTAGTGCTGCAGTGCCTGTGCCTCGATTTCTGCTGGAAATGGGATCTGCAAGGCTTTAAAGACTGGTTCCAGCTTTGAGCAAAACCTACACGAGGAAAGGACAGAACCAGGGAGGGAACTGGTGCACAGAAGGGTGGTGCCCCATCCCTGGAAGGGTCCAAGGGGCTTGGAGCAACCAGGGATGGTGGAAGGTGGCCCTGCCTGTGGCAGGGGTGGCACTGGATGGGCTTTGAGGTCCTTCCAACCCAACCCAACCCAACCCAACCCAACCCAACCCAACCCAACCCAACCCA